CTTTTTCCGACGGCCTGAAGCAGGTTTGGTCTTTGTTGAACAAAATCCGGGTTTCCGGGGGACTTCAATTTCAGATTGCCGTGGCCACGTCCTTTCTGTGGAAACTCGCCCGGTACAAGGTCTTGCCTGCGCTGCGGCCGAAAAGGAGCAACAGGCTGTTTCTCATTCAGTTGACCCGATGCAAAGCGGGGCAATGCTTTGGAGCATCAAGCTCAGTGAGTGTGCTAAACGATGTGGTTGCCCACATCCGACATCCGGCTGTCCACGGCGGCGGGCGAAGCCCTCCGCGAATTGTGGAGCAAGCCAAGGAGAAGGGGGGAAGGCATGGAAGACAAGGTTGACCGCTGTCCTTTGGACGAGGTGGGTCGTCTTGTAAACCATCGTCTTTGCCCCCGTGTGTTTTTGAAGACGGCCGACTTGCCCAGTGTGCTCGCGGCAGCCGCCGACGGAAATTGGTGGCTGACTCCAATTGAGCCTACGCGCGCACTGCAGGACAAGTTTTTGCCGTGAGACTACGACACCATGATTTCAAGAGCTAAAAAGGATTGAGAGCGGCTTGGAAGACAAAGGGGCTCATGTTGTTTGGCCGAGAAGCAGAAGGCCTTTAATGTTATCGGTGGCGCGGATGTACTTGCTTGTTAGATTACGTTGGCCAGTGCATGCGCAATTGCCGTTTTTTTATTCAAGGTGCGTTCATTGAGCCGCGCGTTGATGCTCTCAACGACGTTTTCATTCAAAACTCTCAATCATGACGTGGCACTTCTTCGTTCTTTTGTCTCCCGGTTCCGTGCGATGCCGCCCGGGACGAACAACCCTTGACTCATATCACGGAAATCCATGGTGTCTTCGTTGAATGCCGACCATGGAGATCCCCGGTCCCCGGCATCCCCCTGCATGCTTGAAAGTAAAAAGGGAAGCTCCTAGACTCGGAGGGGGGCATTCACACACATCATACCGCCCGCATCACGGCTAGAAATATCCGGTGGAACATGCATGGCTCTGAACGGGGGTTCTTAGTAGAGATCCATTTGGTGGGCCTTTGGCCCTGGAACCCTGAAACTCTGGTCGCCCCAACCGGGTCATCCAAAGATCGGGTCGCCCACGCCAAGTCTTTCCGCACGCGGTCGCATGCGGTCGCGCCCCAGGTCGCCGATCTCCACGGTGAGCCCGTCCGGGACTGAAAAAACGCGGAGGACGCCCGGAGAAGCCTGGAGGACGCCCGGAGAATCGGCGATAAGGTTCTCCCTTGTGGAATCCTTTTGGTTTTGGGAAGATGTTTTGTTTTGTTTTTTGGGCGCTGGGGAAAGAGAAGGTCGAAAGAATGAGGGACTAATGACTCCCGGATGTCATAGTTGTTGATTTGGAGGTCACTCTGCCAGCAGTCACTCTACCAGGGTGCTATCCATGGAGGGTGCTGTCGGAGTGCTATCCACATCCACTGCATGGGACTAAACACCACCTGTCGTACATGTGACTTCTGGTACCAGCACCCGACTCTAGCGGTGCCCAATGGAAACCTATATATGTAGTGGAGGGTAGTCCATTGGACACCCCCTGGATGGTCCTGGTACAGGTCTCCTTTGGAGGCTTGTTAGGCCCGTTACGGGGTTCCATTGGATCTCTCTGCCGTTGCCGCGAGCGGAGGGGCACCCCACCGACCAAGCTGAAACCGGTTTGTGGGTTCGGAACGTGCGGAGTCGCAGGTTCAAAACGTCTAGTCGTGGCACCGTTTCCATGACGTTTTCTATGTGCCGGGGATCTACGAACTTCGATCGATCGATTTGTTGGGGTCTCCCACCATACTCTGAGAGGAAGAATAACCTACCAGGACCCCGAGGACCACACTGGGGGTGTCGTGCCGTGACCAAAAGACAGGGTGTCCATTCGGACCACTGGACGAACGGCATTTTTCGTCCACGGCCAGTGAGGTCGAGCCGAACATCGCACCACCGCGGGGTGTCCAGGATGTCCATGTAACGAACAGAGGTCTTAAGGGGTGTCCATCGACCAGCCCGACTGGGGGTGCAGGAGAAGACCACTAAGAAGACCTTTTTGCAAAATTAGATGAAGATGAATGGCCCATATGAAAACAACTGCCTACCCAGACGCGCAACGTGAAAAACCGGCCGACCGGTCCCTCAAAACCATATGGAGTGGTTCGCGTCCGGACCCCTGGAGAGGATTCCGGTACAGGTTTCGGGATTTGGGCCCCTGCATATGAGCGTTTGGGTATACGGTATATAACTTTATAAAAACCCCGACCTAAAGAAAGATATGGTTCAAAATGAACCCTAACGATTTTTTCTTTAAATAACATCCGAAAGATATTAGTCGCACTGCTTTTTAAACAGCAAGATATCCAATGAATCAGATCACCCAGCTCAGCACGGCGTGGGAAACAAACCGCCGGTCTCCGCCCCACGTGAACGCCGTGATCCGCCGAGACGCCTGAGGTGGACGTCTCCCGACGTCCGGCCCATCTTGCTCGGTGGACTCAGCCGCGGTCGGGTGTTAGTCATCCCGTGTGGAGTCCTAGTCTATACAGAATATATATACCCTAGAAGTCCAAAGACCATATTTGGACCGGGTGAAGTAAAGGAAGTTCCCTTTCAGGTCCCCTAAAGACGACTCCCAGGGTAGTATATATATATATATATAAGATTCTATTTTGGCATAATTACCGTGACATTCCCGACTCTTGGTCCTACTCTGGTGAATGGATCTTCCAACTTTTGAATGTCGGTGTCCTTCAAACACCCGCAATGCCCTGTGTTGAAGTAGAACAGGGTGGGCTTCACCATTTTTGTGCATTCCTTCGGCTGTCCCACCAAGCCACCAAGGCATGTTGATTCAACCGACACAAGATCTTTTGCCAGCACCTTCCACGGGGTCACCTGCTGGGGATCTCCAGCCACACTCCGACGAAGGTCTAGATATATCATTGTTTTGCACGCACATTCTGTCACCTGAGAGTCATTCTGACCATAAATCCAATGCTCTGACGTCTATATACCTCATCTCGGGAACCTCCTGAACACTTCACTAAGGCCAAATATCCTTTCACTGGACTTCAGCACAGTTTCCGGGTCCACCTACCAGCCTTACCAGTCTTAGGCAGCCCACACGAGGCATCATGCATCCACAAACCCAGTGCTTCCACAATTCCCACGGGCTCTGCGGAAATTCATGGTTTCGAAGTTTTTTTTCGGCTACACCCCTCACGTGTCACAACAGCGATAATTTAAGCTTTTGATGCATCTCTTCCCTGTAAACTCAGATTCGCCACAAGGAGGTTTTGGAGCGGTGTTTTTGTTTGCTTGTTTTCTCAGATCAATGGGTTTGTTGCTGTTGCTGTTGCTGTTGCTGTTGCTGCTGTTGCTGCTGTTGCTGCTGTTGCTGTTGCTGCTGTTGCTGCTGTTGCTGCTGTTGCTGCTGTTGCTGCTGTTGCTGCTGTTGCTGCTGTTGCTGCTGTTGCTGCTGCTGCTGCTGCTGCTGTTGCTGTTGCTGTTGCTGTTGCTGTTTGTGTCGTCGTGGTGGTGGTGGTGGTGGTGGTGGTGGTGGTGGTTGTTGTTGTTGTTGTTGTTGTTGTTGTTGTTGTTGTTGTTGTTGATATGGACTTCCCACCTCCTGGACATCCTTCATCTTCTGGGTGGACCCCCCCCGATATCTATCTGCTTTTTTCACCGGCGCTTGGGGACGACGGGTCTTCCCCCCCCCCAGGTCCTTGCTGATGTTTCAGGTGAGTTGAAAGTCGAAAACACCACTCTGTTGCTTTCTTCATGTTGTTGAGCCATCACCCCCCCCGGAACGATCTGGGACGTCCCAGACGGGAGCGGACGGCGGGCGGAAAACATGTCTTTTTTGGGGCGGAGAGTGTCCGGCCGATCTGCCTGACCCGACTGCCCTTCCAAGACTTGTCGGATTCTGGTGTGGTGCCTCGTTATATATATATATAATATATATATATATAATATATATATATAATATATATATATAATATATATATATATATTTTGCACCAAAGGCTCAGAGTCTTCACGAAGCAACATGTAGCAGTTTGAGCGTTGATGAGCCTCTGGGTAGTAAGACCTTATGGTCATTTCCCGCGCATTCCTTCCTTTCACCAGGGGCCAAATAGACCTTTCTCGCACTGAACACCTGAGCTGGACGTGCTTTGCATGCATTTTTTCAGCCCATCCATGCCTGAAATAGGTCTAGCCCACCCTTCCTTCCCGTCACACCCTTCTTCGCAGGGATCATTCTGCGCAAGCCGCCCAGTCGTTGCCACACCTGTCATCTCCCACAACCCAAAACGGCGGGCTCCCATCCGAAACCAAGAAGTGACGGGGAGTGATGGCTTGGTTTTCTTGGTGGTCGCTGATGGGTGGGAATTTACTTTCCAGGGTCAATTTCCCCAGTGAAGCTGGGTCGATTTTGTTCGAATCCCTGCCTGGTCGTCCAGGCAGCCGTGGAAATCCTCGAATTCGGCCCAACTTGGCTCCAGTGAGACGAGGGGCTGTGACGAAGTCGGGGCGAGACAACAGTTTCGGTCGTGCCATGGCCGGGCGGCTTCATGGCCGAGCTCAGTGGCGGCTATGAGCCGATTGCGAAGGCCACGGACGAGGAGCTGAAACGCCGTGGACATCAGATCCTCTTTGCGGCATGCTCAGGAGACAAGCTAGGGAGCCAAGTCTGTGGGGGGACATACTGAAAAATCTGAAAACGAGTGAAAAGGGGGCGTGAAAGCCTGTGGAGCGCTTGTTTGATATACCATGAAGGGCTGTTTATGAAGAATTGTGAAGACATGCGAAGAGTGTTGACAGGCAACTACTATGTGTATGGACCTTTATGATCCACCATGGATTCCTACATACATGGATATACTTGCTCGAATGTTTCGGACATGCGACCTCTATGATGGGGTGGTGTGTCATTCCTGCTATAGGGTTCATCCTTGGTTACATTGACGATGCCTTTTCTGATTGCCATCTCTTGAAGACATGCAGAGCAAAACATGCCCCTTTGCACAACTCTTGAAAACAACCCTAGAAGCCCTCTATCATTTTATCTTTCAACCTGTTTCCCAATCCCCACTCGCTCCGCATCTGCTCCGGGCGCCCTGGCCTCGCCCGCGGCCGCGGTGGGTGTTTCACACAGGAGATGTGATTCTTACGGGCTCCTCCCGTCCATTGGTGAAGCTCTGGCGTTTGACCGAGGGCGGCGACGCCTTGGCCTCCGAGGCATCCTTGAAGCTGACGGCGCCTCCGAGCTGCATCCAGTGCTCGAAGGATCAGAACCGGGTGGCAGTGGCTTGACACGCTTTTTGCAAGGCACCTTTTTGTTGTTTCAAATTTGTGGTGAGTATACTGGTGGTGATGTAGATTGATAGTTTCTATATGGATGTATAAATGGATGTATTTGGATACCGCGACTCTTTTTTTGGGAATGTCCTGCGGTCCTGCCTGTGGCCGGCCCTGTGGTCCTGCCTTTCTTTGCGTGACTATTCACCACCTCACCGTCGCCTCAGGGGGCCATGCTTGCCAACACTGGCGAGTTCCCGTCGCTCGCCGTCCCGACCAGGTCTGTGTACAGGATGGCACGATCTTGCTCTTTGACCTCCGGGAGAGCCACCAATCACCACAGGTGATTTCCACTGCCATGGCTGAAAGCAACTGTGTCGCCTTTCTGGATGACATTCGCTTGGCGGCGGGCGGATGCAGTGGAAAGATCTCGCTCTGGGATTTACGCCGGATGTCGCTGGAGGAAGAAATCCCTGCTTACATGGAGAATGGCGACAGCAAGTGGGAAGGCGGTCAGGCGAGTCTGGAAGGGCGGCGTTCAGGGCGGTTTGGGCGGCCAGCGGAACCAAGGAAACGGAAGACCCAAAGATAGCCACAAAAACTGTCCAAGCTACCCAACACCCAATCCTGGAGTGCTGCTGGACCGTTGTTTCACGTGTTTTGTTTGGCACCCTGGAACCCCCCGGACCCTTGGCTTCCTTTGTTTCCGAAACGCGCCTTTCGTGTGGGATGGTCCCGGTCGTCTTGCAGACCGATGTCGCGCCACCGTCGCTTACGGTTTGGGACGTGAACGCGAGAACAAGTCGTCTAAACGACTCGTTTTGAAGCTGTTTGGGGGTCTTATGCTTGTATATTTTGGTACATGTTCGCGAAATCCAGGGTGTTAAACTCGAAACATACCCTAGAATTGTAAGTCCAGTGAAGTTCACGATCTTTGGCACCGGCACCGACAAGGCTAAAGGACCCAAAGAATATTTAAACCAAATAGTCTTGGACTCCGAGGATATGTCTTGGTTCTATTTTTTGTGACGTTTTAACCAAAACAATTGAAAGGAACATGGTTTCTGCCTGAGAAACGTGGCAAAAGGCTTGTCATTGGGTGCCCATGCAACCCTATGTTCAGTCGTACTGGTACTGATAGAGAAATGTGCATTCTTTGCAAGCTTTGACATGCTTTGACCATGGAGGATACACAAAGATCATAAGGCAGAACAGCCCGAGGCCTTTCGACAAAACCATTTCGTTTGGCAACGCCAGACACATGACCCAAGCTGATGGGAACTATGATCAACCCATGCAAAGTCACCAATTCCATTCGATTTGACCCGAGCCGCCGTCTCCTCGCTCCTCCGTGGCCTCGCCCAAACGAGCCCCAAGCGAGCTGCGCCTCCGTCTCCCAGGCGCCGAAGCGGCGCCGGTCCGGGGCAGCGAGTTCGAAGGTGACGGACGTCTTTCGAGAAAGCGTCTCCTGTTTGTGCACCAACCACGATGGCTCTCTTTTAGCCTGCGGACGAGCTTCAGGCACCCGAACCAAACAAACGCCTCGGACGAGACCGGGTGGGCTCTGTCGATCCGAGAGGAGACGGGCGGAGCCTGAGCGTTTTCCGTCGTGTTTGGTGGTTGGTCCTTCTTTTTCCTGGCCAAGAAAGTAGGCGGAGATCACGAGCGACCACAGTAGAGTTCAAAGTGATACTGTATATATATATATATATACCCCAAGCTTTCAACAACCATGGGTTAAACGGGTTTGACCGAACAACCATTGTTTGACCTTTCGAATTCCGCGAATCCGTTGATGTTCTGCCTGTCGAATCCGTGGTCGATTTCTTTCATCAGGTCCCATAACTGACAATCTGCGGAAACCGCTGCACGGGTCTGCGGAAAATCCATTCGTTCTGGCTCTGAACAGGGATTATTTGGGTATTTGGGCGCCTTTGCCCGTTCTGATGGTTGTCCACTGGTACTCCAGAAACCTGTTTTGAGGAGCAACCACATGGTCTAGAAGTCCAGAAACCGACGATATTGGGCACCAGAAGTCTTCAGGAAATTCCTGGACTCAGTTGCATCCATAAGACCAATTTTAAGAGTCGCCGCCTGGGCTCCCATGGACGCCTGGTCCAAAAAGGCGTCCTCAGTTTTCGGGTTTTCCACTTTTATGTTTTTTTTGGTGCCTTGGAGACTCCCAGGGAGTAGGTCCATTGGACTCCCAGGGAATAGGTCCATCGTTGCTGCGAATGGAAGTGCAGCGACACGTACAGTGCAACTTGTACATATATATGTACCATATGTACTTTGGCTCAAGGATCAAGCGACTAGAAAAGGTGCGGTTTCCGTTCCGACGCTACGCCGCTTATGGACCGTCAGTGATAGCTTCAAACTTCGCTGATTAAGATCCACTCGCAGTTGCCAGATCTTTCCATTTATTCCTCCCAAAGTTTTCGGGCTCCGCCTTTTTGGGTGGCCAGGCTCTGTGGGGCTTCTGCGGCTACCGTCGCTGCAGTGGGTGACCGCAGATTTGCAAGCGCACACGAGCTCCTCCGCTGCTGTGAGAAGTTTGTCCTTTGATCAGAGGTCCAAAGTCCTCCTCAGTGGAGGCCGGAGAGGATCCGCAAACCGGCAAAATGAAGGTTTGGGCCAGTAAGATATGCCACGTTAATGATATAGATGGAATGCACATCATTCGGGGGTCTATAAACCAACAGAACTGGCAGTATGTGATTGGAATTACACTCTTCCAGCTTTCCCTGTAGAATCGGGAACCCAGCTTTCCCAGAAACGGCTCGGGCCCACGTCTTGACTTGAGCACTGCGAGTCGCTTCTCACGTGGAGACGCGCAGGTGACGACCGGACGATCTGCCTCATGGACGCCAGTGATTGGGTGCAGCGGAGAAGAAAGCCACCGGTGGAACGCTTTCCTGCGCACAGCAAAAGGATCACGGCGGTGCAAGTGTGCCCGGATCCGAGCGAGCAACTGGCGCCTGGGACGCAAAAGACGGACCGGCCCGGCAGATCGTTCCGTTGGTGTGGACGATCCAAGGGAAGACCGGGGATTCCAAGCTCTCCCACCCCGAACGGGCTCCAGGAGCGACCCTCCGTGAAGAGTACAAAACCCGGTCTTCCTTGGGGACCCAGTGGTCCGGACCTGAACCAATCCGGAGGTTTTGAGGGATCGAAGGCTTGTGAACGGAGCGTTTGGTTTCGAGGCCGAGAGAGGGTTCCTAGCGGCTCGATGTGGATCGTGAGACAACATCTCCCTAAAGCCGAGAAGTCCTCCATCAGCTGTTGACCACCCGTTCCTCCTTCTGTACCGGATTCGACCATGGGGAAGCGGACTGGAATAACGGGCTTTGAAGTTAGCCTAACACGGCATGGCATCCTTTAACCGATGGCTTTCCGCGCTTTGCGCGTGACGTGGCCCGTGGATGGCGTCGTCGATGCAAGATATATATATATATATATACTGTACTGTATATATATATACATATACATATATATATATATGTATTATATACGTACAAAAACAACGTTTGTCTTTGTTTTGCCATGGGGATCTAGTAATCGCACCCCTGCTATATTTATATACCAGCACCTGACTCTATAGGTCTCCTCTGGTGGCTTTTGGAAACTTCAAAGTGGCAGGTGGTGACCTGTTGGAGGGTGCTGGTAGTAGTTATATTCCATATATTAGCATATGATTCCATAGGCCACTATAGGAAGTAAAAGGAATGCAAAGTCCAAGAAACAACATCAGGCAACATAGAAGTCGAACCACCATCTATTGAATAGCCTGCATCCCGAACAACCAGCTGTGTTGCTTTAAGGATTTTGCACTACAAAACCAGATCACAGATTTCAACATGGTCGAAGGGACTTCCAGGGAGCACGTTTCAAAACTCCAGCTGCTGCCACGCCCCACTTGGGAGGATCTAGCCCTACGTAGGAGGCCTCTTGCTCCCTCGTTCTGACACCTCTGATGGGTTGGAATCACGGCTGGCCTTTTCTATTGTTAGTTGATGAATCGAGGGGATACCCCCAACGAACAACCAATAAGGTGGTACCTGGCATCGGCCCCTGTAGCACCTTTATGGAACATCGAAGGGTGTTCCTTTCAGCCTCACAGAGCCTCATGGGTCGTCTGGGTCCACCAAGCGCTTTGCTCATTCGTCTCCACTCCGAATGCCAGCGAGAGAAACACCCCATCCCCGCCTTCACACACCCCACGTCCGGGTGTTGTCCGGTGCGTCGAAGCCCCGATCCCGAGCTGGTTCGGGGGTTCCGGGAGGGTGAATGTATGCCGAAACGCTGCGCTGCTGGTGGCGCAGGAGAAACACCCATGGATCCAACCCGACTCATGCAAACTGTGTTGCTTCTGGTGGCCCAGCAGTGGCTAGCACCTGGTAGTCCTGAAGAACTAGCTGTTTTAAGCCAGGCGTCGGCGTTGAGGTGTTGTGTGGGGGGCAGACGCGACTTGGTGTACCGAAATCAGGACAATCGTGTCCCGTCTTCTTCGTCTCAAACTCGCTACCGGCGGGCTCGCCGGGATGGGGGGCTTGCCGTCGCCGTCGCGTCGCGTCGCGGTCGCGTCCAGCCTCCAGGTGGTTTCCGCCTCCTGGGACGGTTTGGTCAAGCTCTGGGACCTTCAAACGCAGCAGCTGCGGCAGAAGTTTGACCACCGCCCCTCGCCCGTGACCGCAGTGGCCTTCGCCCCCATCGATGGGCGCTTTTTCGTGACCGGTGGCGGCGATGCCAGTCTGGTGCTCTATGCCAAGCGGTGAGCGCGAAGAGAGATGCTGGGGGGGGTCTCCAAAAAAAGAAGGGATTGAAGCGAAGAGATAAGAAGAGGTGATATGGAGGAGGAGCAAAAGCATCTTTTTTCCAGGCCATTTTTGGTTGACCCACCCAACTTGCAATGAACACGAAAAGGTGAATAGCCTACAATCCCGCACTCTATTGTGCTGCTTCTGTTTGGGTAAACATCAATCACAAGTTCCGACATCAACATGGTTGCAACATCCGCATGTGAGAGCCACTCGATGCCTAACTCACGCGTCGCGCCGGAGTGCTGATGTCGGCGCCGTTTTTTCTTCGAGTCGAGATGTCGGCACTCCTTTCAGCCTTGGCCATGATGAAAACCAGCAAAACTCGACCTCAGATGCTACAGCTACAGGACCAATTTGACAAGCTGATACAAGTGGGAAAACAACGAAAAACACACTGATGCCAAAAGCAGAAAAAAAACTGGCCGAGCAAAGAAATCTCTAGCCGTGCACGCGATATCGTGCTGTCATCGTCCGCGATACGACCATTGATGCTTAACCCCAGTAGATATTGAGTGGTCTCCAACAAGCACAAAGGTGGGAAAGACCTTCTCTGGCAAGAAACCCTTCCCACTTCGTGATTGTTGGATAGAGAAGAGACACTAGATACACTGTGAGTTATTAAATACAGTATAGAGTATAGTATTGTGAAAGTGAGCATTTGACATGGAATCCGTTTGAGCCTTGAGAGTGACTTCATTTTTGCCGGTCACTTTTTCTCTCAAGGCCTAAAGCCATTTAGACTACGCGACTAGCCTTCGCCGGAAAACCGCTTTGCTTTGCAGACCTGTTGTGCGACGGTCTGCTACAAGTATATAAAAATCAAACACCCCAAAAACCTGGCAGGAAGTTCCCATGGCCGTCGACCAGACGTATATCACTGTCGTCTGCTACGACGCAGACGGTCGACTGTTGACATGACGCAATATGACTTGGATGAGAGGAAATGAGACTTACATCCAAGGATATATGATATATATATATATATGGAGACCTACCAACACCACGGAATGGGTGATTTATCGACGTCCCTCACAATCTATTGTCCTTCCAATAACCCCGCTTTCCGTGGTGTTGTTTTTTTCTATGTATCTTTGCAAGTTTGAAAGTTCTTTGTCAACCTCAGACCGATAGAAAAGAACCACTTCTTGCTCGTCCTAGGTCCTAGTTTGAGACAGGCCCTTTGCCGTCTGGGTTGTTGTATTTTTGAAAGGGTAGTTCTGTATCGCAAGAGGCCTAAAAATAGTTTGTACACTTTACTTTAGATTGTTAAATCCTATCGTTCTAAGTATCGAAATACCTGGTGTAGGAAGGAAAGCTAGTGCTTCTACACCCACTGATGAGGTTGGCTCAGTGAAAAAAAACACTCAGAAAGGATTAGGACCGTTTCGGTGTATGAGATTTACGCAGCATCTCTTTCCAAGTCACAAGACCATCACAAGTCAAATTATCCCGAATCTCCGCGGACCCCGGACAGCTCCAAAAAATCTAGCGGGTCTGCGATTCAAGAGGATTCGCCGGCCTTAGTGGAAATGCACGCGCGGGCAGGGCTGGATGCCTGCTGCTTATGACCGGACCTATCATTCGTACCATTATGCCTGAAAATCACAGAGCCCTGCGGCTGCGTCCTTCTCATCCGCAGACGATTGCATGAGACCAGGCCCAAGTTGCAAGTTGGTTCCCCAGAATATGATGGTATCGCATGGCACATCTGATTTACTAAAACACATCGTGAAATCCTGTGGGTTCAATCTTTGTGGATCATGACTTGTCATAAGAGTTCAGAGCAGGCAGTACGGTACAAACCCAAACCGTTGATGGACAGATGGGGGTTGTGCCACTTACACAAGTCAATCGCTGCACATTGGGGTCATCCTCTAACTCCAGCAGCTTGTCCCGTCCGACGGCTGGGTCGAAGGTGTACGTCGTCCATAGGTAATGTTTCTGGGTTCAAAGAACCTTCCCATGTGTCCCAGAATTGGTTTAAGGGAACATCTACAAGAAACCCATAGTTTTGGAGTTGAACACCGTGATTTCCTGTAGATTTTCCCTTTAACCAATCCAGCAGAACTGAGCTTGGTTTGCTTCAATCGGCACCTCAGTTGAGTTGATGATTGCAGCGATCCCACTCTTCTTTCCCTTTTCCCCCCAAAGAAGCGCGCTTCCCCCTCCATGGTGGGAAAAGACCTCCTGCAAGACCAAGCAGTCACATCGAACGCCCGTCACTGGGTGCCCATCACTCGGTGCCTTTGGGGGCAGGGCCTAGCGCAGAGTGTTGGGGTGGTTCGGATGCCGGGTTCGGTGAGACCCTGAGAGTTCAGGAAAATGATGAACATGAACTACCCCGGAACTGGTAGTAGTACCAGGTAGTTCCTGAGTTCAAGTGGAGGAAGTACAGGTGGAGTAGGAACTATGGACTACCAGTACGTGTTTATGAACTCCACTCATGTCCTACCTGGTAGTGGTGGATGGATTGACTACCAGGTGGAGTAGTTCATTTTCGTTCTTCGCCACGGAAGTTCTGCGGTTCGGATGCGACGGAAGTTCAAGCGACGAAGCGACTGACTGTGTGGATAGCCTTTCACCTATTTGGAATTGGGGAGACCCCACTATAGTGACAGACTGAAAGTTAGAATGCACGCGCAATTCCCAAAACGGAGACCAACTGACTTAGAATGCTGCCAGTTTTCATTCAGTTAGAATGCCACCCCACTAGTCAGCAATCTATGATAAGCAATTCTAACTTTCAGTCTGTGTAAGGGGTGAGGTATGTTTCACATAGAATGACTATACATATATAGCAAAATCTGTATATATATATATAAATTATATATTAGATTGCACACACCCGCTTCCCAAGCCGATACTGTGTGAGCGTGCACATGCCTTTTTCACCCGGTCGAAACGCATGCAAGTGCTTTGGAAACATGCACGGAAAGATCTGCAAGCTTAAAGCTTGGCACACGTCGCTTCTGCCTGCAAAATCTTGTCAAATTGTGTCTTCCAAGCCATGTCACGCCGGTTGTTCTCGACATGACTCTGAACAATGGACTTGATGGCCAACAGCAAAGCTTCACCCTCAGATCGCTTTGTGCTGCCTCCGTGGGTGTAATTCATGCTTTTCCGGCCTGGGTAATACCCAGCCCATGTCCTGGAAGATTTGTGGTAGGACAAGTGAACTCCGCCTTCAGGAAGTGCTGGGAGTGCCGTCAGCCCCATGTCATGAAGCTTTTTGAACGAGGGCCTGTGAAAAAAGTCCTTCACCCTGACACACTTAGACTCCACAATGTTCTTCATCTCCTCTTCCTCTGAGGTATAAGCCATCACCTCTTCCGGGTCATCCGCGGTGTTCAGGTGATCCATCTCTTCCTGGAGGAGGTACTCTTCCTCAGCAAACTCGTCATGGCCTTCCTCTTGCTCCTGCTCTTCCAGCTCTCCCGCAATGGCAGCCTCTGCAATGTCATCAGCCAATCCCTGATCAAGAAATGCCGGAAAGGCAGGGATTGTAGTAGGTTCTCCCCTTAGAGCCACCAATCTCTTGGCGTCGCCGCTTGCAGCTTGGATTTTCAACTCGGCAGGAATCGGGGAGAACCACACTTGCACAGAAAACAGCTTCTTCTTGAGGGCATTCAAGTTGGCATTTTTGCGAATTGCACCAGCAAGGCCTTGCTTTTCTTTGTTGAAAAGAAAGCGGCCCTGTTGCTGATCCTTTTGCCAACTCTCGTACTGCCTTTGCATTGCGGCTGTCAATGATTTGCCTTCAGATTCTTTTTTCTCAATACGGTCCAACCACTTTTGGTGGTCCTCACTCCATTTGACGATTGCCCTTTGGATGGGAGATGCGATCCAATCCGGCAGAGGAGCCCTTGAAGTCTCATCATCTCCATCCTGAAGAGCCCAAATAAGTCGGGTCTCTCCTTCAGCTGGAGTATTTCTCAAAGCCTCCAAAACTTCAATCTCTCCGTCATCAGTGGACATGTCTGGCGGAGTGAGGAGATGGACCAAATGCAGCATCCCATCCCTAGCCCTTTTTCCCTCCAGAAGATCGTGGACTCGCTGAATGTTGCCTGAGGGTGGAAAAGCAGGTGGTTCAAATGAGCAGCCAACAGCGCATTCTATATGCACATCACGCACACACAGGCAAAGATTGAGATGACAAAGAATGCATGCATGTCCACACGTCCAGGTTTATATATATATACACCGTCTGTATTTATATATATGCACATATACCAGAGTATATATATAGAATGAAAGACACCGGGGAGATGTACCCTTCCCAAACATTGCACAAAGAGATGAACCCATTCACATAGAATGCGCATGAATTCCCTGCCTTCAAATCGCCACTTGGCAATGTCTTCAATGCTGATCAGGCCACGCTGAAGCCATGCATACCACACAAGTTTCCCAGACCTTGCTTTAGCAAGAGTGTGTACACTGGTGTGTAAACATGCTGTATCAAGCCTTATGCCACAGTAAACAAGAAACCATAGATAATAGGAAGAACACACCTTTGATTGTTTGTTTGCCGGTGCCTTCCTTTCTCCAGAAGCCGAGAGGCTCATACTTACCAAGAGCATCAAGAGCGTAGGCATCCGCGCGCAAAGCTGTCAAGACGGACGACCTCATATTCCCCATATTGCAAAGGAACATGCATATAGAATGCCGCGGTGCACTTGGTGTTTATTTCACGCCAAACCCGGAGACGCACACACAGATATATATATATATATGTAACTGCAAAAGAAACAAGAAAACAAGCAATTGAAGGCCCAAGTAGCTTTGTAGACAAACTGCCCTGCACAGAAAGGGAAAGAGCGTCTAGCTGCTTCCTCACATCAACGCTGTTCACCCAGCCGACAGAGGCTGTGCAAAATGCCCGGTTCAGCGTGTGTAAGTGCTGGTGCCATCCATCGTTTGGAGCCCCGGCCGCCCCCCAGCCGCCAGGTATAGTGATGCCGAGGTCGGTGGAGTCACCACAAACGATGTCCTTATGCATCCAAAAAGTTGCAAATACAAAAACATTGTGGAACAGCACATGCGCACACTCAAGAGAACACTACACACCAAAAAAGGTGGAAGAAAGCATCCTTTGAAATACACTGCAAATTAGGCCGATGTGTTCACATAGAATGCTCACATATCACATGTTTTCCAAAATGTACTGTAAAACCATCAGTCTTTCCAAATGTCTTTAAAGCCCCTTCCTTGAAAGTCACTTAATGTTCCTAACATTCCTTGAATGTCTCTAAGTATCCCAAAAGTTATTGTCCAACTATTTCGAGTCCCTCCATCACTGCTTGCGCGTGTTTGGATTCGAGTAGGCTGCTAAAGGACCCATTATATATATATATATATATTTATTTATTTATAGATATATAGATAGATAGATCGCTTGCGGCTTGTGCGCTCCTTCCTCACCTGCCTTCACCTTCCTCCCCTTCTGCTCTTCCGTTCATCCTTTTCGCGACAAGCTTTTCACAAGCCAACGCTTTGCAAGCTCCATTCCTATTCCTCCACCTCCAAACCTGGCTCGATGACCTGGCTCAACCTACCTGGGACTCGCGTGGCGCTCTCCTTCCTTTGCCGTCCTTCCTCGTCCTTCATCCTGGTCCAGATGGATTCGGCAAGAGTGCATGCATGATAGGCTGTTTTGTCAGAACATGGTCTCTGCGGCACTGGCATTCCTTTTTGAACACCCAGTGTCAGTCACGTTTATTTCCCGAGTACCTATTAAAAAACGGACCCCTATTAGAAAAAAGTCATGTCGGAAACCCCTAAATACGGTTTATATTTGTTTTTAAATTACCGCCCTTTCAAGCCGCTACTAAACTACCAACGTTGCCGACTTTGGAGGAGTTTTTCTTATTAGGTTCCAAAAACAACCGTAACTGCCCACCTCTGTCCGCCCTGTCTATCCACCATGACACGCCGCGCTTACACCAGCAGGCTTTCCTTCCCCCAATGGCACGGACTCACTCAAACGCACTTGCCACCGAGGTCATGCAACACCGCATGGCACAGCGACATCACCTTTCGAAAGCTTTAGCTGTTAGTCTACTGAAGAATCACTATTCTAATGAATGTTTTTGTAGGGGAAAAAGGAAGACCCTTCGATCTGGAGCTTTTTTGCATTTTTGATATGAGTTTAATAAAGGATTTTATATAAACATTTACTGATTTACTTTTTGGTTTTGAAGCTCTTCCCAGGTGACCCTATTTTGGACCGGGGGGCCGTGTTTTTTAGTAGGTGGACCGGATTAGTCCTCCAGTCAAGTGGCATTGGGTCAAAGCCATTTCACCCAGTGGGTTGGCCTCAATTGTGGTCTATTCTGTTCATTTTCGGTGGTCAACCAAGGTCTCCTGGCTTTGACCCATAGGCAAGGCAGCGAGTCCTGTCCCCCCGTGGTGAAACTCCAACCCTGGCTCCACTCCCGTGGCTCTATTCGCACCAATCATGCGCCAATCAGATCGCTTGCTGCCCTCGCTCTCCTTCCTCACCTGTCCTCACTGACCTTCCTCTCCTCTCGCAACTCCTCCTCCAAGCTCCAAGCTCCAAGTTCTCCGGGCCCCTCCATCACTCGTCATCCTTTCTAGGATTGCGAGAACGGTGCATAACAACTGCTAAAGAACTTTGTTGGCGAGTCTCTCCGTCTCTCAGCTTCAATCGTGTGACGTCCGTCAGATGCACATCTCCCCCTGGTCCTTTGGTCCCTGGGTTCCCTGGTGGTCCCCTTGGTCCTTGGTCCCTTGGTCATCTATCTCGCAGTCTCCCACCAGGTCCTCCCTGATTTTTTCGTAAAAAGACTCCCTCAACACATCTAAACATAGGGCAATCCTAAGATTGCTCCTCCTCCTCAATGCTTATCAAGCTTTCTAGGTGTAGGTGCACCCAATTTCACCCGCTTTTGTCTTGAATACCCAGTCTCAGTCTCTCCTCATACGTGGTTCAAGCTTGTTTGCCTAGGTTTGTCGCTAAGGTCATATACACTTAGAATGCCTACAAGTTCATCTTCCTTTGTTGCTTCCGTCCACAACACTGTCTCCCCCAAAGTCCTCCCCGTATATCTGTGGTGAAACCCGCAACCATCACAGGTCTGGTGAAGAATTCCCTTGAATATGCTAAATTTTTCCAAATGTCCTTCTCAAATGTCTAGGTTTCCCTTATATATATATATGAGTTTCCCTTATAGGTTTCCCTTATATACGGGTCCGCTTTTCCTTTTCCTTCAACCATACTGACCCAACTTACCAAAAGCATCTTTCACGAGCAACGTGTGTATGCATATACATATAAACATATACAAGTTATGCACACTTATATATATATATACATGAATTATTATGCACAATAGATAGGTATTTTGCACATAGAATGCTCTACACATCACATGTATGTTCAAATAAAACTCCTGTCAGCACTATAATATTTATATATATATAGATGTATAGATAGGTATATATATAGATAGATATGCGCGCTCACACACTCTTAGAAGGAAGGATATTGAGATCTGTACTTTGAATTGTATACAAGTTTCCGCGTTGTGCTGTTTGCACCATTCCTCTTTCAACGCAGTGTATTTGCGGGATGAGTGTTGGGAGGCATGATCGCAAAGGATGAGGGCCTTCTCATTCCATGTCAATCCAAGTTCTCTCCTTCGGCTTCTCAACTCGCCGGCCAAGAAGTCTAGAAAATCAAGGAACGTCTCCGAGTTCCAAATGTGGGTCCTGCCTTGGCAGGGCCCCACGTGCAGGTGCTTGGAAAGCTCCTGTGTCCAAAAAATTAACTTACAACTTGAAATACAACTCGGCTTTAAAACACGAGCGGAGGATGATGAAAAAAAGGATGATGAGATTGTTGGATGAGAGGATTAGGATGGGAAAAGGGTCGATCAGAATGCTAAAGACATTCTAACTGCATGAATTCTCTTCCTTGCCTCACGGATTTTGGAATATTTTCACTGCACAAAACAGGCTTTAACCCATGCTCCTTGTTCGCTGCTCGCCTCTCCTGCTCAGTGATGCCTGTTTGGGAACAAGACACGTATCCCCGGCCAAGGCTTCCGTCCGACCACGACAGGGTCGTTAGAGTTCTTGGTACTCGCCAACCGTCAACTGGACAATGAGATGCCTCGCCACCCTGGAGTCTTGTCGCGTTCATTGCTGATTCCTCCATGCTTTCCGTGTAGCTTTGGCCCAGGCACCGCTCTATGCAGTGGCGCACCCTTCTGTAGGACAAGTTTTTGGCATACTGGTCGAAGAAGACACGCTTCTTCTGCAAGGTGCGCCTTGCTGGGTTAAAGCACACCGACCAAACCTGGTCAAAATTGGCTATTAGCCTGCCGTTATACTTGCCACTCTCCACATTCAGTTGCACCCACTCTTGTACCCGAATGAGTAGTGGATGGTTTGGAGGGAGATGGCGCCCTGGCTTCGTGTTGGAGCATGGTGCAATCCCCGATCGCCGGCATATGCGCTGGGAGAATTTCCTGAAAAATGTGAAACAAATGCTTTTGAAATGTATACTCAATGTGTCAGGATATATATGTATATACCCATATATATATATACCCATACATATATATATATATATCCATATATATAGTTGTATATATACATATTATAATATATATATATATCATGAAAATTCTCAATGTTTGGCCCACATAGAATGCTCTTTATAAGCGGAATCAGGCCAAGGAGCAGGAAATTTGCGCTGGTCGGTTTCAATGAAATCGGGCACAACTCCTTCTCTAAGCGCTCACAAATCTCATTCAAATGTGTCTCTGGGTCGTCCTCTCTGAGGTTCATATTCAGCAACTTCAATAGTTCCTCCGGCCTCTTCTCAGTGACCATGGAGACAGCCTGATTCCACTGCTCAATGGTCGCTTGCAATGCACTGCTCACATACCGGTAGTCGACCTCCTCTCCAAGAGAAATGCGCTCTGCCTGCACAGCTGCGCGTCTACACTCACCCAATAGAAGGGACGGTAAACACCATTAGGACTTTTAGCCGCTAGGCCCCTAGGGGAAAGGGAAAGAAGCCACATATATTTATATATGCACCTAACAAATGTATAGTACACATGATTAGTAAACACTATACATACATAAACAAAACCGGTCTCTTAATGTCTTTCAGTGAACGACAGCATCAGCAACCAGATTCTCCAGCTCTGGTGGAAGGATCGTGTTTTGTGGTGGTGTTTCTGAGTCAATTGGCTTGCCCCTCCGGCAAACGAACTTGTTCTTGATGCCCAAAAGCCGTCGCAAAGAGTTTGGTACTTCCTGCCAGGAACAGCTGTGGCTGCCCACTGACATGGACATAGAATGCATCGCTATTGGTCGTTCTATACATATTGATAGACACACATTCATCAATCCATCCATGCAGCCAGCCAACCATGTGTTTATCTATGCAAAGCCTACCAAAATTGCATGCATATATATATATAGATATATATATATGTATATAAATATATTTGCCGCATACTATACCATGCAGAAAAAACGCTGTTCTGAAAGGAGATTGTTCTTTTTGCTGCTGTCCTTTTTAGATTTGGCCACACGTGGAGCAGCAGCGCAAAGTAGACTCCATTGTTCAGCCTTCCTCTGCTTGCACCATTTATACATGCAACAGCGGTAGTACCCTTTCATGTGCTGCACTGCAAGGCAAGGATTCTTGATAGCCGGATCGTTCTTCGCCTCATCGTAAGCCTTCATCCTCAGTTAGCTGCAAAGCTGGCATTATTTTTGGGTGGTTATATGCATATATATATATACACACACTATACACACATATAGAGATAGCCACCCAAGAAGCCTTGAGTTCCTTTTCCACCTGATCCTACCAAATTTCCAGTATAACTATATATATATACACCCAGACTGTATTCCTGCATAGTCCTGTCAAACGTGCAAAATGTTAAGTCTCTAAAACACAGTTTGCACATAGAATGAATCGACATAGAATGCCGATGAATGTAGACGCCAAGTCTCAACTGCTCCTTCTGCCACAATGTTGCGCTTTCATGCTTGCCCTTGGCAAAACTGCGGCTGTCCACCCCCTTCTTCTTTCTCTTGTACTTTCTGACTCCGCTGACTCGTTTCCCTTTCTTGGCCGGTTTTGGGCGTCTTGTGCTCCCAGCGATGACACCCATGCGCGGAGGTCCATATTCTCCTGCTTTGCGCTTGCCTCTGATGCGTCTCAGAACCACATCAGCAGTTTGGCCTGCTTGCTTCGTAGAATCATCCTCCATCTGTGAGATCCTTGTTGACACAGTGCCCCATGCATCAGCTGCCACTGCAAAAGTGGTCAAGATTACTGCTTGTGCCACTGTAGTGGTAAAGGAGTTACCCACTAAGTCATGGGTAAAGGATGGCTTGGACAATAGTTCTTGATAGATCTCGCTTGACCAGGACGATTCGAAAAAGCCTTGTACATTCATGAAATCTGAAGTCCCCAAGTATCTTTCCAGGTGAGTTGCATAGACGGGATGCCCGGGAGTCACGCAAGGAACCACCTGCTCTGCGTACACAGGTCTTGAATAGGAGCCATTGCAATTCACAAAAAGAGCATTGCAGTCAGGTGCACTTTCCTTTGCCAGCTTTACCAAGTGCTGGTGGCGGCCGGCCTTCACTGCACACTTTGGCTGATTTGCAAAAATGCTCTCGGCTGTGAAGGTACAATTGGATTGGAAGGACTGCAGGCACTCTCCATACTCAGCGCAAACTTCACCAGGACGTGAAGTGATGAGGGTAGCAAGCCCCCACACACGCATCCGCCGTTGAGGCACCAAAAAGTGCTGGGAATTGACAAGTTGCCAAGCCTTGGTTGGTGTGAAGTGCAGTGCACTTGAAAAAGCAGTGATACCTTGGATCAAACCTAGCACACTAACCACATATGATTCACATAGAATGCTACCGCTCCGATAACGGCAGACAAAGTGCAAAGTCGTATCCAAGCTCTTGCATGTGCTTCTTCACCACCTGCTGGAGAGGGTTTGGAAGTGTTCTACAAAATATATATATATAACACGATATATGGGGGGAGTCGGTTGGGTGGAGTCCACTGAAAACTATGTGGTTTGGAGGCCATTTGGACCATCACATCAACAATATATATATATAGAGAGAGAGAAGAATCTACATAGTGGAGTCCCATTCGGCTTGGAGGAAGTGCAAAGCATGCGCAAATGCACTAAACACAGTTGATTGGCCTCAACTGCTGCTTCTTGCTTATCGCCATTCTCATCCCGGGAGCCAGTAGTAGCACCGCGGACATTCTCGTATATAGCTATGGCCGGTGCCAGAACTTCCACCACCTAAACTGACAGCAATTGGAAAACTGCAAAAAACTGCTTACTAGTATGTGTGTATAATGATACAATATATATATATATATACACATACACTTATACACTTACGCATATTTTAAAAGGGAGCATGTTTGAAGAAAGCTTGAAACATGGATATATATATATATATGCATACATACACGTGTAAATAATGCCAAACCAAGACAAAGTGCCTTTCTGAAGCCATACTTGTAGGTTGGCCCTGATGTTCCATCTGTGTCCTCATTCTCCTCCCCTAATTGGTAGCAAGTTGAATGCTTTCGCTTCTCCGTATTCAGTGTTGAAAGGTCCTTGCACGATGGTCCGCTGATGAAAATGTCCACTGACAGAAGATCCCGCTCGATCTTATGGCATGTTTTACAGCGGTAGCAATAACCTTCACCATCCCTGAAGACGTTGACATCCTGAAATACGTGGCGGCTGTTGTGCTCACGCAAAATCAGGTCAAGCTTTTTAGGGTCAGCTTCAACGCTGAATATAGGATCCAATGCGACTGCAGTGCCCTGGTCAAGATTCTGAAGGCGTTTGAACAACTGAGAAAAAGACACATTCTAACTGGACGCTAGAATGAACAAAAACACATGTGTATGACTATTTAACTGTGAGGCTTGCAAAAAATAGTTTAGAGCGCGGGTGCTGCCTTCTGCTTGTTGAGAGCTGCCAATGTTTGCTTGAAGACTGTGATCACAATGTCAGAGCCACTGCAAGTGGTGCCAATTCGAATGGTACTGCGGTCCAAGGAGAGGATTGTGTCAAAGATCTTGCATTGATAGACGGGGTCACATATCCCCATGAAGAAATCACAGGTCTCTCTCAAATCAGGCTTGGGAATCTTGACCTTGGCCCTTGCAAAGCCTTGTTGCAGAGCAGACACTTTGAGTTTGATTGTGCGATTTCTGTAAGCAGTATCAACCCAAGGCACAGGACTGGGAACGTCGAATGTAGTCACACTATCCAACTGCCAAAAGTATGGCTGCTTGTGCCGCTTCAAAGCTTCAAGCTCGAATTTGCTGTAGTATTCAAGGAGGGTCTTCTCAATCTCGGGGTCTGTTCTGTCCAGTAGAAAGCAACAGCGTATGTGCAACACGCCGTAGCACATGTAGAAATTTGGTGATCTCAGGAAGGCAAAGAGTTCTGCGTGATGGGAATTATAGGGCCTCACTATGAATGAAGCTCCTTTCTGAATTTTGCCCCACTCTCTGTCATGCAAAACAATCGCATACACTTCCCCGTTTGGGCTGGCGAAGTCATGGATTTGCAGCTGGCAATCGCTCATGGATTCCACGTCTGGCCATTCTTGATCCTCCGTTGACAGCCTTGATCTCTTGGAGAATGACCAAGATTCAGTAGAAGTATCTCTCACAAGCTGGGAGCGTGCATTTGTAGGCAACTCATCACAGATAGACACCAGTGAGTCTGTGGATCCAATCTCGCTTGTTTGTTCTTTGCTGCAGCTATCTGGCAAATTGCAGGCGAGGTCAGACAAAGAAAAATAGAGCCACACGATCGGCCCTCCTGGTTTGGATCCTGAATTCAGAATCAAAGGCGGGTCAAAGACCTCAACAGCTTCCATGTACCATCCCCAGAGCTTTTCCTTAGAAGAAAAGCCTCCCTGATCCAGTTCTAAGTCTGTGAGCCTGTGATAGTGGAAATGCTTGGAAAGGTCATTTGCATCCATGCTGATGATGCCTTTGTACTTCAAAATTCCCAAGCACATGCGTGGTTTGGACCGGTTCACGCTAATCAATGCCACCTCATCTCCTTCTTTTAGAAAATTGACACGGATAGTGCGGATCTCCATTGTCTTGCGAATGCCATTCTGTGTGACAAAGCGCTGGGCATATTGTTCTCTCACCATCAAACCAGGCACTCTGCCATCCTTTTCCTTGACGTTCCTGAAGGCACGCTTGGCTTTCTCCAGGATCAATCCCTGCACGCGGCTATTTTTCTCCCGGAAGGTGTGTATATATATATAGACCAATACAGACACAACTTCATGAACATATGTATATGTATGTATATAATTAGGTAAATATATATATATATATTGTAATTATGTATATATATATATATATTCAAAACAAAACCGTAAGCTTCCCCGCATTTCTGAAAACCTTTGATTTCCCCAGAGAGGGAGAGTCGAAAGGCCTCATCGCACGATTCAATCTCCTCCCCCATAGATGCAAATGCCGCTGCCAGCATTTCTTCATAAGATCCACCCGCTTCCTCATCTAGAAAGTAAGGGTCGTTGTCGGGGTCGGCAATTGGAATCAGCATCTCCTTCAACCAGCTCACATTCTAAAAGGAAACACACATACTGTAGCCCATTCCAAGTAAGAAACATCCTGCAAGCTGCATGGAAACAAATATATAAACAAGCACAGCACAAGCTAACATTCTCTCAGCTTTGGATTGTTAAACAATGAGACCTCGGAGGGATCGCAACCAGAAAAACACATTTGTCACGCGACATCTAGACCCCCACCTCCTGTTCTTGTGCTTCCTCTGTAGTGACCATTGAGGGCTCCTGCAGGTGCAGCGGGAAACAACAACAACCAAAAAAAAAAAAAATATATATATATATAAGGTCTCAGGACCATGGACAGAGTGCGCATTCTTAGTGAAAAATATACTGCAAATTGCTCTGAAGCAAGGGAAAAACACTCACCTGCATATATAGATTGCTTAAACAAATCACTGCTGTTTGACTGTGCCTGAACAACCTCCGCAATGACGGATGCTTTGCTGTGATCCACGCTTTGAGGGTGCTCCTAAATGCTATGATTCTCAGAGCCAAGTAAAAAGTCTCTTGGCACACCGCAGACATTTGAACCCCCACCTCCTGTTCTTGTGCTTCCTTTGTAGCGACCATTGAAGGCTCCTGCGGACACAACGGGAAGTATTGTAAGGACTCAGGACCATAGACAAAGAGCGCATTCTAAGTGAGAAAC